CACACACACACATATATATATATATATATATATATATATATAAATGCTGACACCTGCTGGCCGTTGATGAACACTGCACATGGTCATGTTTCCTCAGTTAACTGCTAACATTGAATAGACTCGTGTTGTTTTCATATACAGCTATAGTCATAAACACTATAGTCTAACACTGACAATAGCAGGACACTTGCTGCATTATACAGTAAGGTTTAGTTCATTTCTGGGAACAAATTTGTCCTAAAAATATGGTTAAATAGGTATAAACACACACACACAGACACACACAGACACACACACAACACACACACTCACTATATCACGCACTCACACATGCACACACACACACACACACACTCACTCACTATTACACACACACACACACACACACACACATACTGACACCTGCTGGCCGTTCACACACACTGCACAGATACACACACACACACTCACTATAACACAGACACACACACAGAAACGCATACACACACACACACACACACAGACACTATTACACACACACACACACACACACACACATACTGACACCTGCTGGCCGTTCACACACACTGCACAGATACACACACACACACTCACTATAACACAGACACACACACAGAAACGCATACACACACACACACACACACAGACACTATTACACACACACACACACACACACACACATACTGACACCTGCTGGCCGTTCACACACACTGCACAGATACACACACACACACTCACTATAACACAGACACACACACAGAAACGCATACACACACACACACACACACAGACACTATTACACACACACACACACACACACACACATACTGACACCTGCTGGCCGTTCACACACACTGCACAGATACACACACACACACTCACTATAACACAGACACACACACAGAAACGCATACACACACACACACACACACAGACACTATTACACACACACACACACACACACACACATACTGACACCTGCTGGCCGTTCACACACACTGCACAGATACACACACACACACTCACTATAACACAGACACACACACAGAAACGCATACACACACACACACACACACAGACACTATTACACACACACACACACACACACACACATACTGACACCTGCTGGCCGTTCACACACACTGCACAGATACACACACACACACTCACTATAACACAGACACACACACAGAAACGCATACACACACACACACACACACAGACACTATTACACACACACACACACACACACACACATACTGACACCTGCTGGCCGTTCACACACACTGCACAGATACACACACACACACTCACTATAACACAGACACACACACAGAAACGCATACACACACACACACACACACAGACACTATTACACACACACACACACACACACACACATACTGACACCTGCTGGCCGTTCACACACACTGCACAGATACACACACACACACTCACTATAACACAGACACACACACAGAAACGCATACACACACACACACACACACAGACACTATTACACACACACACACACACACACACACATACTGACACCTGCTGGCCGTTCACACACACTGCACAGATACACACACACACACACTCACTATAACACGCACTCACACATGCACACAGACACACACACACAACACACACACACTCACTATAACACGTACTCACTCATGCTCACACACACACTCACTATAACACACACACACTCACACATGCACACACACACACACACGCCTCCTGCTGGAGCTTCACAAACACATGAACAGACAAAAACTGCTCCATTTCCATTGATTGAAATCATTAGGTTTATAAACCAGACTTGAACTGGTCTGGGTTCTTCTTCTGTGGTGATTACGTCACACTCGTTGTTCTTTGGCTGCTTGTGCAGGAAAGTGGTGCGCAGGGCGAGTGTGTCCAACAGACACAATCTCTGCAGGAAGGAGTATCAGACCGAAGCCATCGTGTGGAGAGGAGGACGAGAGGAAGAGGAGCGAGAGCGGGAGTCTGATCAGGAAAACAGCCTCTCGGTGAGTAAAACCCTCACTGCTCTCAGAAACCAAACGCAGAGCTCATTGACGGAGTCCACAGGATACTAGATCTCATTCACATTAGACATGCACTTTCGTTCACTACTATTATTATTATTATTATTTTCAATTTAAGATATTACCAATATTAATAATATTTATTATTATTATTATTAATTTTCAATTTAAAATATTACCTATATTAATCATATTTATTATTATTATTCATTTTCAATTTAAAATATTACCAATATTATATTTATGATTATTATTCATTTTCAATTTAAGATATTACCAATATTAATAATATTTATTATTATTATTATTATTATTATTAATTTTCAATTTAAGATATTACCAATATTAATAATATTTATTATTATTATTAATTGACAATTTAAAATATTACCAATATTACCAATATTATTATTTATTATTATTATTATTAGCAACAGTAATATTTTTTGTTGTAATTCCTTTCTCCTTTATTTATTTATTTAAAAAAAAAAAAATTTTTTATATTTGTCTTAAAACATGCAACATTAAACACTATTATTATTAATTACTATTAAATATTAAAACATTATTTAACTTTTTAAATACTAGCATTTTAGCAAAAGTAAGGTTTTTTTTTTTTTTTTTTTTTTTTTTTTTTTTTTTTTTTTTTTTTTTTTTTTTTTTTTTTTTTTTTTTTTTTTTTTTTTTTTTTTTTTTTTTTTTTTTTTTTTTTTTTTTTTTTTTTTTTTTTTTTTTTTTTTTTTTTTTTTTTTTGACTTTGACTTTTGCACAACATATTATTTCGGCCCATTAAACCCCTGTATTCTTTCAATCACAGGTATTTTTAAACCCAGTCAACTACAATTTTATATTATTGTCATAATTCTATTATTATCATTAATAGTAATAATAATAATAATTTTTTTTTTTTATATAAGCATATCAGCAACAACTCTTTTTTTCTGTTCTGTAACTTTTTTCACACAAAAATTTCAGCCCATTAACCATTATTTTTTATTCATATTTTTACAACCTGAATTTTATATTGTTGTCACATAATACTAATTATTATTATTTATTTATTTTTTTTAAACAGCATTTTAATTACGCAACAAAATGCGTGTTTTAAAATGCGTATTAGTGAATTTATAACAGCTAGCGGCGTGCGTAAAACCCCCTTAGCTGTTATAAATTCACTGTAAACCACGGCTTCACTGGGATTATTGCTTTTATAAAACGGTTATTCCATATACGTAGTACGGTTTCACAAAATAAAACAGAGCAAATAAAGTGTAATGGTATTAATAAAAACAGTATTCTTCCACCAAACAATGTAGCTCCTCAGAATCAGTTGTGGTTGCAACAAAGTGGTTGCCGAGCAACACACAAACGTAAACAAAGGTGTATGTTACTTTGTAGAGTAATTTACAACAGCTTCGAACGCGGCTCAGCCAATCAGAATCAAGCACCGGAACTCTCTGTTTTATAATAAAAGTTTCTGTCCTGTTACTGAAAGTCCAGATAAACACAACTTAGAAGATCCAAAAGGTCACGAATCCCTTTGAATCAAGCAGTTTAATCAGATTCACTGTAGATCTGGATGTTAGACAGGAACTCCGTCTGTTTCTTCAGCGGCGATGTTTTGACTTCCTGTTTGCAGACGCAGCCCGACGACGCTCCTCGAGCAGCGGGGATCCTGAAGGAGGACGGCGGACAGAACGGCTGCATCTCCAGCACTCCAGCGCCGGCCGCTGACCCCGTGACCCTTGACCGCGCGCCCTCCGCCGAGGAGCCCAAGCACAAAGAGCATGCACAGACACTGTCCGAACTCAAGAAGCAGCGCGCCGCCGCCAACCTCCTCGCCCATCCCGTCCTCAACGGCCACCTGGGAAACGGCTCGACTAGAGCCAGCCCCGAGGATCCGCGCATGCCGCTGGTCTCGTCCAATGGCAGCGCAGTTTACTTCACACCTGCCAGTGGAGACCCGCCCCTTCTGAGGTTCAGGCAGCCAATAGAAGACGAGGATCCCAAGAGTGACAGCTGCTGCTGCATCTCATAGATCCGACGAGAGGATCCCGAGCGATCCGGTTATCACCCGCTTTTATTTCTCATTCCAAGCCTGGAAGTGTGACGAACCCTCTCTGAATCCTGTGCAGGAACGGGAACTTCTCAGAGGAGGAAGGAAATGATCTCCTTCAGGCTTCCCAGGTTAAATGTGTGACATATGCTTCTCTATTTCACTTCCAGCAGCAGATCGAACAACAGACGATTCCTTCCAGCTGTGTAATGTGCGATTGTACAGATCTTCAGCTTAGTGGTGTTATACAGACCGACAGACGTGTTCCTCTCCTGTACAGTATTTATTTGTATATGTACATAGAGCCACTCTTCTATAAGATTATTTATTGTATTCCAGAGAGATGAAGTGACGGATGGAGCACAAACGAGTCAGTATTTTTCTATGACAGTGTTATAATGACCAGATGAAGTATTTGAATGCATCTCACGTCCAACTCACATTTCACACTCAAATCACAAGAACGGCGTAGCCAGCCTCTGATATGTTGTGCATCTAGTGCTGTCAAATAAATTAATCGCGATTAATCGCATCCAAAATAAAAGTCTTTGTTTACATAATATATGTGTGTGTATTGTGTATATTTATTATGTATATGTGACCCTGGATCACAAAACCAGTCATAAGTGTCAATTTTTCAAAAGCTGAATAAATAATCTTTCCATTGATGTATGGTTTGTTAGGATAGGACAATATTTGGCTGAGATACAACTATTTGAAAACCTGGAATCTGAGGGTGCAAAAAAATCTAAATATTGAGAAAATCATCTTTAAAGTTGTCCAAATGAAGTTCTTAGCAATGCATATTACTAATCAAAAATTAAGTTTTGATATATTTACGGTAGGAAATTTACAAAATATCTTCCTGGAACATGATCTTTACTTAATATCCTAATGATTTTTGGCATAAAAGAAAAATCTATAATTTTGAGCCATACAATGTATTGTTGGCTATTGCTACAAATATACCCCAGCGACTTAAGACTGCTTTTGTGCTGCAGGGACACAAATATAAATACACATAAATGCTTGTATATATTTAAGAAAAATATGTTAAGTTTATATATTAAATATATTTATATATGATATAAATTATATGAATATAAATATATACATGTAAATATTTACAAAATATATGCGGTATGTGTGTTTGTTTATATATATATACATAATAAATATACACAATACACACATATTATGTAAACAAAAACGTTTATTTTGGATGCGATTAATCGTTTGACGGCACTATTTGCATCGTCAAGTTATTTTCACGACAGACACGTTTTACTCCAAAAGCTGCAGGAAAAATTACTAATTTCATTTGAATCAGCAGCACAATGAATACTAACATTATGCATAAATGCTAAATAATTTAAATAACGTATCAGTAATTTTACAGACATTTTTAGTGAGATTTTGTGAAACGTTTACTGTTATGAAAAAAGCCCCAAATCGTTTTTAGGTTCTTTTGATGTGAAATATGACCCAGATGTGTTTATATGAAGAAAGTGTTCATATCCTGCACACAGTGCTCCCTATGAAGGGTTTATTTATTTCATTTGATCTGCTCGATTGTGACGCTCTGCTCTCGGGTGCCAAAGTCTTCCAGAGTGATTGACGTCAGAAACAGCCAATGAGGTTCCAGTGCCACTCCCGTAGCCCCGCCCACTCAGCGCTCGCTGGGAAAGAATGTAAATAATGCTCGGAATGCGTTTCCTTCAAGTGATGGCGCAGAGACGCGAGCTGATGTTGGACAGTATTCTGTAGCCTGTGATTCTGAAATAGAAATATGAGTAGAGTTCACACGTGAGGAGTTCGGCTTCCATTTCTACTGAGGAACATGAAGGGAAAAGAGCATCACAACTACTGATTTGATAATTACTGGAATGCACTGATCACTGTATTAACATATTTTCAATAAATTGTATATTTTGGTCAGTTTCTGTCATCAGTGCTCAGTGAAGTCTGTCTGATCAGATCTCTGGGATTGTTTGTGAAATGTGGCGACGGCAGGCTGATGTACCTCTGTGAAGTTGGCACCCCATGAAAAGAAATAATCACCAAAACTATGCCATTCGTTTGTGCTGGGTTGGTGTTTGAGATATTAAACATTATTTTTTGGACCGTGTGACGTCACTCTCCACCCCATGTTGCCCAAATCGCTCCAAACCAGCGCAGTTCATTTGTGCCCTTAAAACAAACACTGCATCTATTTTCCTTCCTTAGATATAACCTAAATATTTTCGGGAGCTGTGACGTCACTCTCCACCCCAGTCTGATGACGCCATCGTTTGTGCTCGATTTGTGCTGTTGAAAGAAACAATGTAACCATGACCTCTTGACCTCTTCTTAAGTATAATGGGAACTTTACTCTCCACTCCATATATTTAAAAAATAAAAATTAGTGTTCGTGCTGCCTTAAAATGTTAAGTTTAGTCAGGTCCAAGTTTTCACTAACTTCATATTTCAAGTTGACTACGCTTAAATTTCAAGGCAGCATTAAGTTGAAACGGTGAGACAGTGTTTTTTTAATTTATTTATTTTTTACTGCGAATCTAAATCGATTTGTGCCGTTAGAATATTAAACATATTCCCCCAGGAATAACAAATATATGCTAATTCAGGGAGCTCTCCGTCCATGCCACCGGCTCCGTTCGTTTGTGCTATAGATGCCGTTAAAATTAACATTCTATTTTTATTTCTCCTCAGTAAAACATTACAAATATCTGGAGGAAATGTGATGGCACGCAAGCCGCTCGTCCAAATTCCTGTCTTCTATAGTTTGCAAATCTGCTGGTTTACAAGGTTTTTCTAAGTTTTATTGCCAGTGACTTCACTGACTCCAAAATGTTCATTTTCTCGGAACAGGCTATTGCAATTTAATATGACATATTCGTGTTCTTGTTTGTTGCTATTTGTATTCATTTGTTACAAAAATGCAACATAGACTAAATTATTGTTTTTTTGTGGTCTTTTTTAATTTTTTTCACACATTCAGTATAGCTTAAGGCTATTTTATCTTTGAGCACTTTTTCTACAGTCCATTATGTTCTTTTTGTTTTCTTATGCTGGGTTATTCACTGTAAATTATACGGTATTTTTCACTTCCAAAAACGGTATACTACCGTAAAATTTATGTCCAATACATGTAATGTCCAATACAGTTTTTCACCGTATATAGTAGGGGAATTTACCGTTAACCATTTAACAGGTTTTTACTGTAGCATTTTTACAGTCTTTTACCGTTAAATCCACGGTCATTTTTTACAGTGTAGCACAAACGAATAGCATATATCTTTTCATGGGGTGCCAACTTCACGGAGGTGGCTGATGTTTAAGGAAGTGGTTATTGAGTCATTAGTGTGTTTATAATCCGCTGGCAAACAACCA